CAAAAAATCAAAAGTTTCTTATTTCGCTTTTGTTTGCAAGAGCCAGATGCAATCACGAAAAGAGCCACACCTGGCTCGTGAACCATAGGTTCCCGAATCCTGTTGTAGACGCCGAGACGAAATATAAATGAACACAGAGCTTCTTAGTGGAAAACAATGGCCTGCCTGCCGTAGTACAAAGTTGAAACCAGAAAAGGCTCTGCACAATACAAAGTAGTAATATTTAAAATTTTGTATAGTTACCAACTGGCTTTCAACGGAAATTCAAAAATGTATTGCCGCCTACTAAAATGACAAATAAAAAATTTCTGCAGGCACCTCATATACTCCTACTCCTAGCATTTTGTCCTATGGAAACGGTGGTTACAAGGGTTTCATGGGTGGACAATTAGGATAGCCCGTGGAATATAAGTTAGTTACTGCCGTATACATTTTTATTTTATTGTATTTATAAACTTTGTAGATCTATACATGTAGATTTTCCTAATTTGTATTATCGTTTATCGTATTGCTCAAAAAAACCCGATTACCAAAATGCATTCTTCTTAAAATTCCTGAAGAAATGAAATGGTGTTTAGGAAGTCGTCTACGTCCATTTACTTGAGGTTCAATTTACCGTTCTGGAGTTAGGTTAATTTAGTTTACTGCGCAATGCGCCATGCACACCTTCAATGTGCGTGCAGAACAACTTACTCCCAGTGGCCGCGGGAAACAAATTCAACTACATTTTTCCATTTTACACTTACTTCTACAAATTTCCTTCACAGCCTGTCTTATTTCCCATCCCAAATCCCCTCTAACCACCGTTTCCGTTGGAATAAATTCTAAGACTAGGGGCAAATGAGGTGCACTATTTAAACTACCTTTGCCGTTTTTCGTTCTAACAGCTGCCAAACACTTTAGAATTAGACTGAGAGGAGGGATCGGTGCTCACCGATCGGTTAAGGGACACCCATACCGTACTGTCTTAGAACTCACTCTCAGACCACATCGGCTGCCACAAAGGGGCTAGTATGATAGGCAGAAAAATATTTTGCACAATGCTAAGGGAGACTAGAATACCTATTTTTGTCTTATTAGCCATTATCCATCAGCCTTACCGAATCACAGATGATGACCCACACGATGCTCGAATTCGTGGCCCTTTGATTAGAAGTCAAACACTTAAACGACTGAGCTACTGAATCATCGTTTTTCCAACTTTTCGACATTGATTGAGGGATGATGGTTAATAGTGGACTTTTCTGTAGCCCATTTGTTAGCATCCGTTTAAATATGTTAAAATCCGGTCAAAACTAAAAAGACAACGAGCGTTCAGCGCAAGGGATAAAACTTTAGACTTCTAAGTACCATGTCAAGGGCTTGGGGTGCGGGCGGTGCATTTCCCGGTTTTGGCTATGAACGGCTGATGACGGCTAGCTAATACCGTTTTTCATTGTCGTTAATTTCCTTCTACTTTACCGTAATATATTTAGGAAGATTTAAGCGGTTGCCATAAACAGTTTACTCGTACGGGTTCGTTTAGAGAGCTGTTCATAATAACTTTTTCTCGCGAATAGTAGTGTCAATTTCAAATGCATTTGGAAATAGTTAATTGAGCTGAGAATATTAACTTTATTTCGTACTATATATTTAAGGGAGACCAAAGAAATGTTCTTGTAAAAATCTTTGTTAAGTCACAAGCGTGCTTCGCTTGGTTCACCATAATAATTACCTGAAAAACGCTTTCCATGTGCTCCTTGAGTGTGTTATCGTCGTATGGCGGATCAGTGTGTTTGCCTAGCAGATCATAAATTGAATGGATGACTTTGAGCATTTCACTCCTAGTAATGACACCATCCCCGTCGATATCGTACAGATGGAAAATCCACATGAGCTTCGTGTGTGTAGAGCCATGGATGAGAGTTGAAAGGCATCGAACCAATTGCTGAAAAAAATAATGTCAGTGCGAAAACACTTGGCCCCTTATAATCAGTCAAATCGACAGTGCGAGAAACCCGAAATTCCGGTGTTTTTTTAGTAAGTTATACACTACATGCTTTCCTTTTAGATGACCCGGTCTGTATCCAAGCCTGAATTCGATGTTTGCACAGAAATGGTTTAAGAAATGTGTTGTTTGGGCTGAATTTAGATTGTAGGAAGATAAGCGTTATCTTCACAATTGCAAAAACTAAGTGTTCAGTATTTTGCCTAAATTATTAATTCTTTTATTTAAAAACCCATGCACAAAACCCTACCACCTGAAGTTGAGGCTCCAAAAACTACGCCAGGAATAACACGTTTAATCTATTTAATTACTTAAATAAATTTGTGTGTCTGCTTTAAGCCTGCGGAACATTGTGGGTATTAGGGTCCATGCGACAACATCGCTAGGCTTTTAAATTGAGTCCTCCTGTAAATCTAATCTGCTGTGATGATCCTCATTATACGCACACATAAAAGGGTACAAAAATGTTTAACTTAACATTTCGGACACTCTTGGGGAACGATTAAAACCAGGTTTACATAAGGTAATCGTAGGCTCGGCACAAATAAGAAGAAACTATGGTAAGTTTTCCCATTTTATGTTGTAAATCGAAAACAAGATAATATTCAGACATTTTGTCCATTATGTATGTTTAGTCGATACCGTTGAGTAAACCTTCCTTAATTTACTAGGATTTCACCAACATTTCGTTTTACTTCACGGTACTGCGCTCATGCCTATGGCATTAGAATATGCTTGTAGTGCCACTTTCATTCAAATAAAAAATTATCTTTCGTGTATGTGGCAACCTATGAAATACGCAGTTTCGCAGGAAATAACGACACCAGCTTTATCTTGTTTTATGGTTGACATAAAATACTCGGTTAAAAACGAAAAGAGGGTACATTTATATTCATAAACCTTATCTGCTTACTTCGAAAGCCAGGTGGAAAAACTATAACCTACCAGCAATAATAAATTAACGAGATGTTCACCTTACGTTACCTTCAATCAATTGTGCGTTGTTTTTGCATAGACACAGTTCTATTTTTGGAAAAACATATGACGTCCACCACGGTTCTGTATTCATCAGTGAGATTCAGTGTGTGTTGCCCTTTTCAAATGCAGTGGCTGTACCGATCAGGCTACTTAGGAATTTCTGTTCGAAAACCTAATTGTCTGCACAAATTGGTACCGTTATACACTACATATTTCATTTTTACAAATAGGTCCCTGCATTCAGGGAATATGCTTAAAACTCACGATTTCCGTGGAAAATGAAAATGTATATGCTCATTAAGTACAGGTAGAAAGGTGTCATCAATTCGTAGGGACTAAACCTCAAATACTTTGATCGCCTCAAAAAAGTATACTTCGCTTAACTTGAAAATTATTTCGAAAGAGTGATCAAGAACAAATATATCTGATTTTTGAGTTAATATATTCGCATTTCGAACTTAAACGCTACTTGCTTGGCCTGCAGGCTATAGCATCTTTCAGTTTTATGTCTAACCTATATAAAACTAAGCAAAAAATCCCATCGTCTAAGTAAAACTAGGCTCAAACAATCTCTTTGTGTTATATGAGCACAGTTTTTAGAATCAGGGTTCAGTACCAGACAGCTGACTCTATTAAATTTTGTCATGCAAAGTATGTTTAAATGTTATAACGCGCGAAAAAAAAACACGTTGTGAGGTTCGCGCTAAGGGGTTTTAAATCCGCCTAATTTTTTTTACATTTTTAACTAGAATTACATAGGTAATTTAAGATACGTTTTTGCTGCCGTCGTTTCCCGTCATTTTGAACAAACACTATGAAAACAGTGATATGTTTTGTTTAAACTCAGATTTTTATCAGCCTAAGGCCAGGGAAAATTGTTTAGAAAAAAATATTTTTAAAAGTATCGAGTTTACTTTGGCGAAATGATCTTGCAACAACCTATTAAACGGAAAGAATGTGTGAATTAAAAAGACAAAATTGTTAACATTCAGTAGTTGTCAAATCGACAAAATGCATAAAGCAATTTGATAAATGACATGTATTCACTTAACAAAATTGATATTCACGCGACACCGAACATTTTAACACACCTGTTTGATTAAACTACAACCCTTACTTAAGCTTAATTGCGTGTGATAATTTACTATTGCCTTGGATATTAATGCAAAAATTAGAAATAAATCGAAGGATGCAAAACATTTCATGCTCACTTGGGATATTTATTAGAAAGCCTGATTTAAATCCTGTCCATTTGAACAATTGTCAGTTTGTGCAATTAATCTTAACATCCATCGTCGGCATTGCGATTGACTTTAATTTCTATGCTCAATATAAATATCAGGTATTTATTTTGATTTTTGAAAATTATAACTATAATGAACCTTATGTGACCTTCCTCCACCATACCTCAAATGAAAGTTTGCCCATGTTGCAGTGGTCGAACGTCCTAAATACAAAGTGGGCGTACATGCTGGCATCTAAAATTAACAAAGTAAAAAATTGGTTTAAGCAGAAATGCTGCTTGCATGTTCCGAATATAATTGGTGGCCTTAGAAACGCTTACATGTAGCCTAATGAGGTATCAGACCATAGATTTTGGGTCGTAGACATAATTCGTACAATTATAATGGAGTATTACTACACGAATTTAAAAACCAGGTACGCGTCCAGCAAAGATTCTCGGTCCTGACAAAATATAGATAAAAAATTCCTAGCTTACAAATTCACGTTAGGTATCAGCGCTAGAAGAAACCGTCATCGATGTCGGGCTTTGGGGATACAATTGCACTTTTGAGCCTCAAAATGTATTATTGAATGCTAAGATAATTTTATTGAATAGAGAATTTCAAAACTTCCGTTTAAAATCGTCTCCTACATTTTACAAGCAACACTTCTGAATAAGCAGGAAACATTTCACAAATTTATCGGGAAGCCGTTTAATTTTAAATCCAACTGTTATTTACTGTTAAGGTGCAAATTCAAGATAGCGATGGCGAGCTTCTCTCTTAATTCACACATTCATGAAATGTTTTGTGTTTCATTAATTTTTAAAGTTTATAAAGATGCTCACCAACCGTATTTCTAGTCGATAAATCTTTTTATTTACTGCCTATAGTATTTAAGAGGTATTTTCAAATCCTTTACCCAAACAGCATGTTGTGTTTTCGCCTACCTGCTGTCTTTGGTTCGATTTTTCCATCCTTATTACTAACTGTTCTAGAGGGGTCAATTAGAAGGCTAACTGCGCTTCGCGTATAGCCTGATTCTTTAATTTTTGTTTGATCATTTGCGAATTTAACAGTGCCAATAAATGCAAGTAACTTTTACCAGATAGTCAGTTTCCTTAAAACAAGACAATTTTGCACTTCCACACTAGAAAGTATTCTGCCTCCATTTTTAGTTTTCCTAAACTAATTGTATTACCAAGATTTCATTTAAGAATGAGAGTTAATGCGAGGATATATGCTTAAGAAGTTAATACGGTCTGTTTTTAGTCCCGCAAAGCTAAAATTCAAATTTAAAAAAAACGACATTAAGATTCGGAAGTCCCATATAATCGCGTTAGATAACGACATATTTTTGGTACACTGGCTCACCGGAGCTCTCTTGAAAATGCTCAAAATATGTTAAGTACTTTTGTTGCTCTACGTGGCAAGGAGTCGCCAACTTTTCATAAATGCCTCTGTTGATGACTGCTTATGTTCAGTGAAGAGAGCTATTTGTTAAAAGCATTTTAATAAGTCTTTACTTACGCCCGCTGACAAAAACTCGTTCATTGGTAATAAAAACTCCATTACTAAATATAAACTTTAAAGTGCGTTTCACCCCAATCAAAGAGACGACACTTTTGTTGTTATTCTCAACCGCCTTCCTTCCATTAGCCTATCGAGATATTTCTGCAATTCACCATTGTAAGCTTAGGCGTGTTTTTTCCCACCGAATATTAAAGTGAATATTTTAGCTATCATAATGCCTTGCTTTATGAGGTGAACCTTACCCTCTTCAAAGACACCTGCAAAAATTTTCAAACTCCATTTCGGTGAAATGAAGGTTGCCGTCAGAAACAAAATCTTTTTATCATCTTCCTAACTAAATGAAATGGCGCCGGCCTAAAAACCTAACTTTTCTCTTTCAGAGCGTTAAATTAACACTTTGATCTATTTCTAACGATTGAAAACCTAAGAAAACTAAGTATTTTCGCTTTTATTCTCCAAAGTGATTCTGTATTATCCTTACGTATATACGCTCAAGGTAATGTATCAATGAGTACTAATAGTTAATTTTCCAATGGCTGTTGCGAAAAATTAATTGTTGCATATAAGTTCAAATATTACAGAACCTCTTAAAAATGGCATTTTGATTTGTAAACTTTTCTCTTCTGCAGTGTGGTATTTGACGTTCTACGCATAATACCGATAAAATATATGCCGTCGCAATGCACTTTGCATCCACCGCACTGTTATACAATATAGTCTGAAGAAAACCTTTAAAGCTATAGGGACTAAGTTAAATTTTAAAAGCACGCTTAGTTCCTAAGGGTCATTAGGGTAATATATATTATAAAAAGTCTTACCGCCCTGTGGAAAGAACTTTCCATAGATTACTTTGAATATGTCTTCCGTTAGCTGCCCCGTAGGACAATCCTTTAAAAGGAAAGTAATTTTCAGATTATAACGAAACCTCCAAAAATTGAAATAAATAATATGCATGCAAGAATAGATAAAAACCTAAAAATGAACGAACTGGTTTCTATCCTTATAATCCTGTTTCCGTTGGTGACTTTTATATTACTAAAGTATATTTATTTCTGCATAAAACAACCAACGTTTCTGTCATAAAAAAGAGTTTTCTAAATAATTTCGTTAAAAAAATCGAACAATTTCCTTTTGCGTTAATCTGCTAGTTCGACATTTAAGAAACTATCTTAGGATTTTTCGTTACACTTAATTATTTCAAATTTTTGAGAGATTTACAGCATTTGTTCATTTGGGTGACTTACTTGTTTGAAGCCTCGGTATATTATTTGCAGTTCTCTCCTTGTGAACTGCGTACATTTTAGCAGTGTTTGTATGCCGACGGGTTTTTGGCGAAAATAATTTGCTTCGACGTCCTCTAGGTCGGCATCTGTAAAATAATTAAAAATTTATGTGTAAGAATTGTTCACCCTTTTCAAAAAGAGAAGGCTTCGAAAAGGTATTTGTAAGGGCACCAGTGATAATTTGCTAATTGAAATAATACACGTTGGTAAGTGGTTTAAAAGTCTGTCTACCTTTATCCTCGATAAACTTTTATTTGCATTGAAACTAATTACCACTTCTTTTTCGCGTCCGTTCTCTCCAGTTTGAAATAGCTGCATGAAATCCTCCTTTTGTGATAAATGGCATGGAACAGACGATTTATTAATTTGTAAATGTTATGGGAGAAGTAATCCGCCGAATTTCGCTGACATAACGTTCTAAATTGTTACTTGCCAGCCAATTCATGAACCCCAATTCAAAACTCTTTACCTTAACCTTCACGCCAATCGAAACCGTAAAAAGTAGCTGGTGTCATTCTATTGGTCTCTTCAACTGCCAATGTTAACCAAGAACTAAATCCACCACGCTACTAGTGCATTCTGGGGGCTGTTTTGTAACACATAAAGCATATTCTGCTGAACTAATCATTTGGATTGGTTGGATGCATAAAATGTCACATACGCGAATGAAATAGAAAGTATGCAGTTGCCCAATTTTCTTCTCAAAAGATTGCTATTTTCCAGGTATTATTTTTGTATATTACTTTAAGTTTATATGCAAGATATCTTTATTTAAAAAAATTAATTTGTGTTGATATTTCGTGAAACTAGCATCATAGACGCTCGTGTTGGCCCTACATGGAGCAGTTCTAGTAGCAAAGGAGATGCGTTATACAGCATTATCAGTTTCTATGCCGTTAAGATATCGATGATATATATTTTGTGATTCCTCGAACTTGAGATTTTTGCTTGACTGTTCTTTAAAATGAAAAACATCCCAGTCAGATGTTAACGGTTGAGTAAACACTAACATCACATAGGTAAGAAAAGGGAGTCAAGCCTGAAAAAACGGATTTACTATGCTAAATATTTAGAATGTTTTATAGAATGAGTTTGAAAGGACATATATATATATATATATATGAATTCATCATATTCCTATTAAATAAGATTCCACATCATGTAAAACAGATATAATACTATCCAAGTTAGTTGATAATTAATAAAAAGCAGGAAAGTGCGCCAAGCAGATGACTCTATCCTCTTCAAATCAAAAGATTTCGTTCCGCTCGGGTCATTGATGTCGTTGAGAGAAAGAGATCTGCATACTCTAGCTGAGTGACCTTCTGCGGAAGGTTTCCATTAGGCCTGACAAACGAACTTGAAGTTCTTAATGAATTTCGAAAGATAATAACAACAGCAAACATAAATCGCTTCGCTCTTTACGTCCTTTCTTTTCGGGATGACTTAACAAAGCTAAGAAGAATTCAAAAATATTTTTAACGAATTTCATGTTATTGTTTAAATGCAATCCAAAGAACTTCAGAGCAAGAAGCACGTTATTATTCAAACTGCCAAACGCATCACTGCACTTGTACATTAGAATCTGAAAGACCCGGTCTTCCAGTAATGTGAATTGTTAAGGTGACATACATTGTAATGACACTTGTTAAATTATTGAAAAGTTTCTAGTAAAGCTCTTTTTACTCGGTTCTATCCTCTCCTCTTATCGATTCCAAAAGAAGAAGATGAAGAAATACTGGAAATTATGCTTTTTAACTGAAAGCCAGATGGTGGTCTGAAGACTACGATATGCGGATGGCGGATAAAAAACACTCAACTTTGACTTTTAGATCAACCTCTGTAACTTTTAGAATAATTTGAGCGAGTGCTCGGAAGGATATGCAGAACGAGCAACAATCAGGAGATAAAAATGAAGGCAGACTCCTGAGTCTTTATTAATACGGACGAATTACCATTTGAAGTAATTCTTATCAACAAAGGAAACTCTGGATATTGCCGCCCTATCAGTAAAATATAAATCACACTCAAATTCCGTGAATTATGTATGTAGGCTCTAACTAACACATGAGAGAAAAAGAATAGACTCTAAAAGCAACAAAAATTTGATAATCAACAAGCCACGGTTCACTTTGCTTTCCATGAACAACATGTTATCTTTAAACTCCTTAAAATGTTTACAAATTATCATTTGGGACTGGCTGGTTGAAAAAAACTTTTCAAGTGCTCTGCTCTTTGTAAGGTCAGAAAACGGCTATGTGTGCTCTTCTGTGGAACAATAAATATGCAAGAATTATTTTGCTAACGAATGATTTTTCTCAAAATCGGATAACTAGACTTACCTAAAACAAATTATTCATGATGCTGTGAAGACATGCGTGAACATAATTCGTGATAGTTTTTGGCAGAAAAGTCGACGGACAAAAACTGCAGTCATGTCTTTTGACTTTTCTAGCAGACACAAACCACGAGTAGAGGTTTGGTATACGGGTGCTTATAGGAAAACGTAGTTGTCAAATCATTTTTTATTCTATGCCTGTCGTTTACGTAACCTTCAGCTACACATGATTTGATGTTTACGACCTATAGCATGAACGGTTTCTAAGAGAATTGTACATATTCTTATTGACAGGTGCACCAAGCCTCATGTGCTTTGCGGAAGCAAGCGGATAATTAAAACAATAGAATTACCGGAGATTCGAGGAAAGTATATTCCAATGACAGAGACCTCCTCGATTGCAAAGCAGTCTAACCGGTATATCGGCCTTCTTGTATATGCTATAAATTATATATGTTTATTAATAAATCCACATAAATGTCGTGGTTTTCACATGTTATAGTTTGTATCATTTGCGTCTTCGCTGTTCACTGTAACAGCATAGCAGCGATCTCATCGTTTTACTCCCGCTTTTGTCTATCAAGAGGACTGTAGAATAACCTCAAGAAGCGGGCATTTTCTGATGTTAAAAGTCACTGAAAAAGGATGTTTCCTTTGCTTAGTTCACAAATTACCACCTGCTGAAAACATATTGTTGTATGCAATAGCTTGTTTTATGCGAGCAAGCGAAGGCTCCGTCTACATAATTGCGCTGTACACATTTATGACACCTCTTTTGTTAAAATTAATAGATATAGGTAGATTTTCAGGAGCCTATCAGTTGTGATCAATTTGCGAATTCTGAAAAATCACGTTCGTGTGGTTCTTTAAGCTTATCATTTGATCAGCTACTTAATGACAACGGATAATGCTTAGGTTGGCACATAATCATATACTGAAATGCCTATTACTATTGCAATACCTTTTTATGTCAATTGTCGGTAGAATACGCCATGTCATTGCATTGTCTACTGATTTTTTAACCGAATCAGAAAGCAGAGGGGAGCAAAATGTGTCGCTGTCAAATAACTGACAACCCAGTATACACAAAAATAGACGGTATGGCTATGAACTCAACTCATGAAACCCTGATAGGAAATGTATTCGGTAGGAAGCTAGAGCAATTTCAACTAAGTGATAAGATCGGTAGGCTAAAACACTATGGCCGCTAAGTTGATAAAGTAGTTGCAATCGCCTCAGCCGAAACCGATGTAAATGCACTCATAAATGCTGTCAACAAGCCACATGTGTACATCAAGTGCATTCCTTAGGTGAAAACGGCGAGTTCACTTCCTTTCATGGTCGTCTTTCTAACTCGAAGACTTGACGCTAGCGTCCAAGGAGGCTTTTATCGAAGGAAAAACCGGTCTAGACAATATGGAAACTTCAGTAATTTCGCAACCAGTGACCAGAAACCCAACTTAGTCTGCTGCTTATCGCAAATGGCTAGAAAACGTTTATCGGCGGAGCGTACTGAGGAGAAACCGAAGAAAGTCCAGGACGTCCTTGCAAGAACGGACCTCCCGAAAGATTCTTTACAACGAATACAGTTACGAGACAAATACAATACTTCACACTCACAATGAAAAAACGACTCGATACACAAATTCCCCTTCCAACATGATGCTGCAAGAGAATTCCTGAGAATACATCCTAATCAAGCCCTTTCACAGAACTTCCCAGCAAAAAGAGATCGAGTAGTATTCTTGACCTACCCGGTCTTGCAGGGAGAAGCTAGGGCTAGATCGCCAGCGCAAACCACACCGATGTGTATCTACCTGTTGACCTGTTCCTGTGGAGCAGGTTACAGTGGTCACAGGAGTCGAAATTTATCCAAACGAATTGGGTAACACCTCCCGGTATGACTGAGGAAAGGTGAAATCCAGGACAAAACAGCGTAATTCTGGCGCACACTGTTGATTTTTGACGTAGTATGGATGTCAAAGAAGCCTTGCGGGTAATTTTTAGATCCCACCAAATGGCTTCCAGACCCTGCGTCAGGGTCTGCTAGCAACAGCAGAAGCAACTGCTGTCTTATTGAAGAAGCCGTTCTTGCCTGCAAAAAAGAACCTCCTGCAATTTCCGCGCTTAGTATGGCCAACCGTTGATTAACCGCAGGCGCTCTTCCGCGTGAGCAGCCATCTCTTATCGACATTCGTCCCCCCAATCCTCATGACTCATTGGCATGAAGTGGCGAAGATAATTGGCCGCGTGTTTGCTTTTGACCCCCTTCCCGTATAAACGTAATGGGCCGATGTTAATTTATCGTATGCTCGCCAACTGCTTTTCCGAACGCTCTGATGAGAATTTTTGCAATTTTAAATGGGAAGGCACTGAAATCCATGCGAAAATAATAATGAACCGGAAAAGTTAATTGTTTTATCACTGTATTTAAAGACAGAAGAGGAACCGTTTATCTAGACAAATAGGAAGTATAGTGAGCACTAAAATTATTGACGGTATGAACACTGCAATGTTTACACAGTTAAATAACTTTTAATAGATACTTACAGATTTCAGATCTTTTTTATTCAATGGCACATTTTTGGGCCATAAATACTAGTTCTACATTGGAGCATTTCCCAGACGTCGAAATGCTCAATTTGTATATGATCATGCCATTTCTACTTATACACTTTCAGTAAGCAGTTATTTGTTTACTAATTGTGAAGATAATTCAAGACTGCAGTATTTACTTTGAAATGGTAT